TGTTTATACTACTATTAGTAGTATTTAGCCACCAATTAGTGTACGAAATGGCGTTTATAATGAACTCAATCACTAATCACTACATAAAACATATACCACTAAAACATATGACTACCAAAAAACATAGCATTAACTGAATGCCATTACCCCGCACAGGCACTGGTCACCAATTAGTGTACAAAATGGTATTCATAGTGAACGCCTCCCTGGAGATGGGCGTGGGTAAGATCGCGGCACAGGTAGCCCACGCGGCGCTCGGTATGCATCAGCTTCTCCTGCAAGACGAGCACAAGTTCGGCGAATCGCTGATCCGGTGGTCGGAGTTCGGGGAGACGAAGATTGTCCTGAAAGGGGAGTCCACTCAGCACTTGGTCGAGCTGGAGAAGCAGGCGCTCAGTGCGGGTCTGCCGTCATATCTGGTTCAGGACGCCGGCAGGACTCAAGTGAAGGCCGGCTCCACGACTGTCCTCTGCCTCTACGGACAGGTCGACGCCGTGGACGCCGTGTCCGGGAAGTTGAGGCTCTTGTGAATAGTGAGACGTTTTGGTTGGAGTTTTTGTGGACTTTTATTTTGTATATATTTTTTGAGTTTTTTAATTGTTATATAAAATACACCGTTTGGTAGGCTATGTATAACTCCCGCGATAATGAGGTACTTATGATTAGTATACAAAAAAGTTTTAGCACATCTACGGGTGCTCTCTATGTATAGCTAGTTATCGGGTATTAATTGTTCAATAGTGTGCCGGTTCAGTTTACAACTTTTACGTTTATTTATTAGATTTAATTTTTGTGTTTTTAACTTATTTTGCATTTTAGTAATTATAACGTAATACACGTTTAGTACACTATTGGCAGTGATTTTGTTATATCGCGAGTCTATTCAATACAATAAAAACCGATGACTGACTGAATATATCGTAAACTTCACACAAATATCTCACAATTTTGTTGAATTCATAACATTTTTGTAAACAAAACATAATCTTATGAATCAAATGACACACAAATACTGATTAGCTGTACGACCAGTGAATGTGATAACAAATATATTGTACTTTAAAATTAAATTAATATTTAGTTTGCAATTATAACACACTTTTGAAAACTTAATAAAAAGTTTTGTTACACTCGGAAGTCGAGTGCACTTTCAAATACATTACAATTTAAGCTATAGTTTCATAACAAATGTAATCATAATTTGCGACAAAACACTCATTCACTCATAAAAAACACTACATTTTAAAAACAAATAAAAATAAAAACTTTNGAAAACATAATAAAAAGTTTTGTTATACTCGGAAGTCGAGTGCACTTTCAAATACATTACAATTTAAGCTATAGTTTCATAACATATGTAATCATAATTTGCGACAAAACACTCATTCACTCATAAAAAACACTACATTTTAAAAACAAATAAAAATAAAAACTTTAAATACAAGTCATTTACTTTGCATTAGAAGTGATGAACACATTTGAGTGATACAGTGAAAGAGGCATAACATGAACAAGGTAAGTATACCATGAACCTTTAAGAAACTAATAGCCTGATACAAACCATAGTGACTGTAAGAGTGGGAACCTGGTGTCCAGTTTCAGTGCAGCGACATAAATCCATTTTTCAAAAAAGTAATCTTTGTATGAATCACTATTAAAACTGCCGTGTCACCATGCGCAATTTCGTTATATGGCTAGCGGTCATGGTGTGTATGTACGGGGCGAGTGGAGCGTTGTCGGGGTCGGCCTACTCGACCAAACTGCGAGTAAATCATTGCTACGGTATTAGAATTGAATTTTTTAGATAAATGTATTAATATATGACAGTAATAGTAATTTGTGATAATTATGTATAATAAATATTTATAATAAAATATTTATTAATGAAATGCAAACAAAATACTATTTTATCAAATCGCGTGAACCTGGTGACATATAGCACCAGGATTGCCAACATAACCATTGACACCCTGGTCATTGAGTCCCTAAGCAATGCCATTTTATGACGAGTTTATTTCAATAAACACTTAAAATTTTATTAATTATATATAAATCTTAATTAAACATAAGTCTATTAGTATAATTTATTATATGGATGAGATAACATTGTATAATTAACTGAAGTTTACCTTTATAAATACACAAAACTACCCTGCCCCTAACTCCCACGGCATAGACATTTATTACGATAGTCTCGACGGCATATCAATTAATAGGTATTAGTCATACATTTCAGTAATAATTATTATACTAATGCTATGCATTCAGCAAATTATAAGCCTTTGTTTGCCTATTAATTATAATTATTTCACTATTCACCCTGGTCAGCTATTTGTAATTTACTATCAATTTGTAAATAACCTTTGAATTGTTAAAAAGTGATAAAAACTTGTATTAATGATAAACCCTTTAATTACTATCAAAAAAGGGCCTAAAAGTAATGGAAAGCCGTCAAAAAGCTATAGCCATCGGTATAGTATTCATAAGTGTATTCCTATATTCTGTGTACAATTTCCACGAACGGGCTAACCCGCCGGTGCTCAACAAACAGCGCAAAGTGCCCGTCCAGTCGTTCTGTAGCCCTACCATGCCGTGTAAGGCCGCCAACTCCCAGTGCCTCAACCACCGGTGCTATTGTCACGGGAATTGTGTGTACAACGTTAAGCTACAAATGTGCGAGTACCAGGTTAACATTGCTAACTGGGCATTTTTGTGGTCGTTATACATGTTTGCCGGTATATACGCGTGCTATAAGTACCGGGATGATATTCACGACATGTTTTTCGCTCGCTATGACCCAGAGGTTAGTTTCATTACTCTACTAATTAGGGATAATTCAATAAGTACGTACAGTATAGCCCTAATGTTAATTTCCTATCTAACTTGCTAAGTGTGTTAAATAGGGGAATGGCTATTTTTAGCCTAATTTTCCGTACGTACCTATTGTATACCCCTTATTAATGAGTATCATAGCTATGCTAATAAATTAATTACAACTTAGGGACCCGAGTGGGAGTTCACACAGAGCTCACAGATCCCGGTGCTGATGTTCAATAACGGGATCAACCCATTGGTCACATACGTGGACACAGCCCTCCGGGACACCAAAACCTTTCTGAAGGGTCGCCGACTCTGCGCCATCATATCGTACGCCAACCTGAGGCCCGTCGAGCACCAGGAGCTCCAGCTGTTGGCCACACAACTACGGCGCCTCAACTACGAGGTGGACCTCTGTCTCAACAGTACCGGCGCTCAGATCAAGGCATTCCTCACGAGACTGTTCGGTGATAGTAGACGTCTGGATGGCATACAGGCGCTGATGGTATTCGTGTCGTTCAATGGCAATCGGGATCACTATTACGACGCCTCCTATGACACCCTCGCGGGCATTACCCAAGATATCCATGAGCGTATGTGCCGGTGCTATGAGCTCCGGGACAAACAGCGTATGATTTTCGTGGATAATAAGTATTTAACAAATGGTTTCTATAATTGATGTGAAATTGTTTAGTATTTTTGTAAAAACTTTTAAAACAATTGAAAAAGTTTTTCAATTACTTAATCATGTATTCAATTCATAATTCGTGTCATAATAAGAAAGGTGATTTGTAGGAAATGTTATTTGTTAAATTAAAATTATTTATAAGTTATGCATAAGTTAATAAACTATTTAAAAACTTAATTTATCTCAATAATGTTGTAAACTTATGTTTAAAAATTAATAAAATTATTAATAATAAGTTATTACTAATAACTATTATTATAACTATAATTATTATTAATAACTTTTTTTTATAAATTTATATTTTGCGGCAAATATTTCCGAAACAAATGTTAAATAAAACAGTTTAACAAACATATGATAAGATATATAAAACTATATAAATAGTTAACATGGTTTAACTACATAATAAATCAGATAAAACATATTTAATGACGTCTACCGTATATCACATGAGTTGGTGTTTACCATTGAATGGCAAACATTACCAAACAGTAAAACTAATTTTAATTCAATTCAGTTTTGCCTTTAAATCGTGTTTTAAAACTTTCTATGTATTGTGCGGACAGACATTCACACCAATCAAACAGTGGACAAACACTACGGACACATAATTCACTTATTAAGGCACCGGTAGTACAGTATAACACTAGTTATGTATGTTATAAAGTAATTGAATTTAAATGAATTGCTAATTAATTATTTGTTCATAAATTTTAATTAGTTTTGCATTTCAAAAAAGTTTTCAATTGTTTGCAAACAATGTCTGAAAACACACAAAGAATTGGTCTCAGGAGTGACACAAATAAGAGACAGTCTTTGGACCGATTCGGTGATGATTTGTGTCAACACTTATTGAGTTACCTATCATTTGAGGACCGGTTCCGATGTGAATGTGTGTCCAAACAGTGGCAGCGATTGGTATACACAACCCTATCGGAGCTCTCATGTGTTTTTAACTACAAATTAAACGCCAAATCATTTAAATTAATACTAAATAAGTGTCAAAACATTACTAAATTTGAGTTCACGGGTGCTTTGAAATACGGCCTAAAAAACGCAAACTTCAACTCAATTATCAAACATTGCGATCATTTGACAAACATTTATATCCACCTAAACAGCGATATTAATGCCAAAACTATAGACAAGTTTTTCGCGAAGTTTGCCAAACAATTAAAATCCATTGAGATATTCATACCGTTTGAAAATCGCCTGATTCTCGACTCTATTAAAACAAATGCGAAGTTTTGCACGAATTTAACGCAAATCGAGACCTACTTTAACACCAATACTAGCGATAATAATGTGTTGTATTTACTAAGCGGTACTCAACACGAGATACTATTCCCGAAACTGCAGACAATTTTCTTCATTTACAGCAAACAAGACGTGAATTGTTTTAAAATATTTGTTGAAAACTACAAAAACAGTTTGAAATCAATTGATTTGTCAATCGATGAGAACTGCGACCAAAAATCCATTAAAATACTGACGACTGGTTTGTCGCGAATGTCGGCATTAATTGATTTACACATTGAGTTGTATTTAAGCGACAACTCGTTGAACGCCTTAATTCCCGTACAAATGAAACAAATCGGGAATAGCTGTCAAAAACTCAAGAGTCTGTCACTGGATTTGGACATCGATTCAAACGAGACTTTTACACAATTAATGCAAACAATTAACGCAAACTTCACGCAAATTAAACGCTTGAAAATCATCGGAGAGTTCCCCTCAGAGTCCGTATTAATGAGCGGATCGTTGAGTCGATGCAAACGATTAACGGATTTAACGCTTGATATGGGGATCGATGTCTCGTTTGCCGCGAGAATTCACGAAAACTTTGCGAGACTTCAATATTTAGACATTAATTGTCAACACATATCGGATAATATACTGAGAAACATGTGTTTATTGACTGAAATACAGTCCATTAAACTCTACGGTCGGGAGGACTTTACGGATACCTCCCTCGAGACTATTCGCGATAATTGTGGCAAAATTTTTGAGATTTTTATTAATGATAAAAATTTTATGTAATTAAATGTTTTGCGTAACAATTAATTTGATGTAAAGTAGTTTTTGAGCGATAATACAAAAAACTTTGCAATTATTGTAAAGTTTTAAAAAGTTTGCCAAAAGTTTTCTCGAGTCGACTCCAAACATACATTTAAAAAGCGGTTATCAGACACTCATTCATACATACAGTTAACACTGTCTTAAATCGCGTTTCAATCGGTGTTTATGTTTACAAACAAATTATTTTTCCACTAAAACCTAACTTTAAAACTATTTTCTATAATAATTGCATCGAAAATAAAACTTTTAATACAAAAACAATTTCACAACAATTATAACTATTATTATATTGTTATATGTATTGAATGTGTGTTTGCATTGATAAGTATTAAACAAGTAATTCATATGAAAGTCAAAGTATTGAATGAATTGTAGTTTTAAATCAAAAACTTTTAATTAACTTATTATTCATTACTTTTTCAATAAATAGTTTGCTTTCGACACGAGTTGTCAAACAATTATCAACTAATGTCTCAAAATAAGCGAAAACGTCAACCAAAGTGCCGATCAAATACCGGACCATCAGATGATCGCAAAGACTCTTTGGACCGATTCGGTGATGACTTATACGAAGTCCTATTGTCTTACCTCACCCTCGATGACCGGATCCGATGTGAATGTCTATCCAAACAGTGCCAGCGGTTGATATACACGACACAAACGGCGCTATCATTTGACGACAACTTGAATGCCTTAATAAACCGGAAGTC